ATAGTTGCAGCATGATGTGCCGTCCTCAATAGCAGAACTGCATGGATCAGGAGGAACCTGAAAATCAAAAAATTGTAAATGGAACACACTCGATAAACATTCTGTCTAGAAAGTTTGACAGCATTAATTGCTACCTTAACCTCTGGTAATTCATGTTGGACAAGAGGGCTCTTCCTTTTGTTGTTCTGGGACTGTAGTGATGTTGATTTCTGCAAAATCCTCTGGAACCGCTTCCGTCTCGTGCTACATAAATTTTTCACATCGTTGTCTGTTCTCCCTGGCAAATACGTTGCGATTTTCGCCCACTTGTTCCCGAATTGTGCTTGCAGTTGTATCACCATCCTCTCTTCCTCTGGTGAAAACTTGCTTCCACTTTGTAGTAAAGTTCACATTTTTCGTATCGTTAGCATCAATCTTAAGCATGAATGTTACAGAAACACAACAAAAATTGTCCAAAACCCAGCAAGAACCAACAAAGAAAACATGCTAAAATAAAATAAAAACCAAAACTGCATGTTGCATGTAAACACATAAATAACAATTAGTGTTTGCTGACATAAATTATGAGGGCTTACGTCTTCCAGTTGGGTCTAAGCTTGTTAACCCATCTGAGACGACATGATTTTCCAGTTCGTGGCAAAAGGCCCCTGGATCGAATGGAGCTCCAATCTCTTGGACCACATTTCTTCACATGACTTATCAGTACCTCATCTTCTTCAGCAGTCCATGGCCCTTTCTTAACGTTTGCATTTGGCCTCTCCATTTTTGAACAAAGTCTGATCAGTAATTTTCTTCACTCTAAATTCTCCAGAACATATACTTTTCCATCGATTTTCTTACGAAAATTCATTTGGGTTTCTTGCAAAAATGAAATTCGTGAGAAGGATACTTTGAATTGGAGTTTTTGATGTATAGCATATAAATATATACTTGGGTTTGCATGGCTCATCTCATGGATGCTAGTGTTACCAATGAATTAAGGTCAGCCGTTAGATGATCAACTTTATTAGGATTAGGATTGAGTGGGACCGTCAAGCCTCAAAGATGATGAAATTAGAGGAGCCTGATTTAATGATCTCCTTGTTAATTGATCCTCTAATTGTAAATGAGAAACACTGGAACTTTTATGCCACTATCAGGAAAGTGGCAGTTTGGACGGTTAGTGGCAACACCCACAACCGCGCCTTTTCTTCTTTGATCAAAATAGACGATAAAATTACGTTTCTATCCCCGTTAGATCTTTTGATAATATCATCAATCACCAATATTGTATTTGATGAAGAAATAAAATCAAAGCAATTTGATTATTTAAAATGAAATAAATAAATAAATAAAAAACAGAACAAATAGACCATTAAATCTATGGAATTTAACAATAGAATATCCCTTCCTCAAAGAAAAGAAAAAAAAAATCTCATAACCCCATCCTTAAAAAACACAACAAAGAAAGAAACAATAATGATGGGAAAGCTTTGTAGATGTCGGGCAATGTTGCAGCACCAATTCCAAGTGGATGAAGGGTGTTAGAATAGGAGGTGAAACAAACCTTCGAATTACCATATTGACACTGATGCTCACAAACTTGTTCAATCTGTTGACTTCGACCCATCATATTATAACTATAGACTTTCTTTCTAGTTGCAAATAGCAAGTCTTCCCATTCATGACTGTAAACCCTGCAATATAATTAGGGTTAGGCTCCATCAACCCCATTGCTCTAACCCTAATTTTCATAATCCGAATCGTAGTCTCTCAAAACCCATGCAGTGAACACAAACTTCTTCAGCCTTACCAAACAGATTGACTCAGATGAACTTTTCCTACTTCCCCACTTGAAAATCCCCAAATTGGATTTGTGTAAAGTATCATTCGACCCCTTCCTTGCATCATTAGGCAGTCTTAGTTTTCTTGTGGTATCATTGTTAATATCATATGCCACAATATATGGCCAATAGTATACACTTCCTCTGCGCCTCGAAGGATCACTACAATCTGAAACAAAATGGACAGCACCATTGTGATAAACAGGCATATCAAGATGAAGTTCTCTAGGACCGAATCCATGAACTTTTTTTTTCCTTCCATGTGCCCTCTTTTGGCGAGTAAATTTTGCACTCATAATAGGGTAACCAATCTCTTGGTGGCTGAATGATTAGTAACATTTAGTCTTGATGATCAGGGTCTGAAATTGGATTGTTAATGTTGCACTCAAGCACAACTCCTTTGGGCCGATTTACTTCTCCTAAATATTGTGGGGTTGGAATGGTTAGCCAAGTTTGTGTTGTGGGATTGCAAAGAAATAAGTTATGATCATCTCGGGTTTTGGTGTTTTGACAAAGTATCAAGCCATTACTTGATGCCAAGACCTTTGATCCGGTGTTTTCGAGAAACTGAAGAGATTTTTGGGGCACACCTGAGAAGAGTTGTTCACCAGGTAGTGAGTGATATTCTACTTTGTCACGATGCTTGGACCCGTTGGAGATACTGGGTTGAATAAAGAACCCTGAGTCATCCTTGACACGCAAGTTACGAGCTTGGGTCCACGCAAATAACTTGTTTGTTGAGAATTCAGAAAAAGATTTGCAGACACATTTGAATCTATAAATAGGCTTTGCTGGTAACCATGAGAAAACATATTGAAGTAAATCTTCGGAAAATTCCATAGCTAATATTCAAAAACCTGCATGCATGCAATAAATTTACAAATTGTCAGCACAAGGAAAACTGTGAGGAGTTCAAAGTATTTGTTAAATTTATATGTTTCAACACAAACCCATTCGAATCAGGAAACCTTTCAACACAAGGAAAAAAAAAAAATTGAATGAAGAAGAAGAATTAGGAAACCTACTCAAGAAATAGCAAACTTTCTATCACAATCTGATTCACATAATTATATCTATTTTTTATTGGAAGTAGAGGTTTCCCAATTCGAATGGGTTTATACACAAGGGTGTTTAAAAAGACCCCAAAAATATCTATTTGGGTTTGAAAGATGGCCCAAGCCCAAATAATTCTCACTCGAAGCACATTTAACTGAGCGAGTCATAATTGAGTTGACCCACCTTCAAGTGGGCAAGCCGAATCAACAGCAAGTCAAAACTCGTTCTTCTTCCTGAAGAAGGCCCAGCTCAGATAACAGAGCAGCAGCTGAGCTTTTGACACTTCCCCCACCTACTTTTCTCACCAACACCTTTTCCCTGCAACCTCCAAATCCCTCACCCCTTTAGATCTGAGTTTGCTCCCATTGGTGGCCCCTGAAATGTGGTCACAGATACGAACGCGATAACCCCAGCAGCGAGCTGCTCACCTCCCTCCTGGGAGGGATTTGGGGGGATCTGCAGTACGAGAGGGAGGTCCATCCATGTTGCTGTCTTTTCTTCAACAGGACCATCCTAATCGGTTTTCCTCACGTGTGCCTTTGGCTTTGTTGCGAGTCATATGGCGTTGAGGTGGGCCTTTATGGCTCTTATGTGAGCTTCAAGATTCCTTTCTTCTCTTGAATGCTTCTGGTGGGGCATAGCTTTGGCGACTGCCCACATCCGGTTTGGGCCCAGCAACAACTGTGGCCATGAATATTCTAAGCTGGAATTGTCAAGGGATTGGGAACCCCTGGACTGTGGAAGCACTGCGAGGTTTGATTCGCAGTGAAGACCCAAAAATTATTTTTCTCAGTGAAACTCGTTGCTCTCTGGAAGCGATGGAAAAGGTCCGATCTAATTTGGGATTCAGACAAAGCATTGTGGTTAGTAGTGTGGGTGCTTCGGGTGGGTTATGTTTGATGTGGACTGAAGAAGTGGACATTTCCGCTAACTCTTTCAGCCCCCACCACATTGATGTTTCTGTGACAGTTATTGGTGTTCATGGCAAGTGGCGGTTGACTGGCTTTTATGGTCCGTTGTCTGTTCTCCCTGGCAAATACGTTGCGATTTTCGCCCACTTGTTCCCGAATTGTGCTTGCAGTTGTATCACCATCCTCTCTTCCTCTGGTGAAAACTTGCTTCCACTTTGTAGTAAAGTTCACATTTTTCGTATCGTTAGCATCAATCTTAAGCATGAATGTTACAGAAACACAACAAAAATTGTCCAAAACCCAGCAAGAACCAACAAAGAAAACATGCTAAAATAAAATAAAAACCAAAACTGCATGTTGCATGTAAACACATAAATAACAATTAGTGTTTGCTGACATAAATTATGAGGGCTTACGTCTTCCAGTTGGGTCTAAGCTTGTTAACCCATCTGAGACGACATGATTTTCCAGTTCGTGGCAAAAGGCCCCTGGATCGAATGGAGCTCCAATCTCTTGGACCACATTTCTTCACATGACTTATCAGTACCTCATCTTCTTCAGTAGTCCATGGCCCTTTCTTAGCGTATGCATTTGGCCTCTCCATTTTTGAAGAAAGTTTGATCAGTAATTTTCTTCACTCCAAATTCTCCAGAACATATACTTTTCCATCGATTTTCTTAAGAAAATTCATTTGGGTTTCTTGCAAAAATGAAATTCGTGAGAAGGATACTTTGAATTGGAGTTTTTGATGTATAGCATATAAATATATACTTGGGTTTGCATGGCTCATCTCATGGATGCTAGTGTTACCAATGAATTAAGGTCAGCCGTTAGATGATCAACTTTATTAGGATTAGGATTGAGTGGGACCGTCAAGCCTCAAAGATGATGAAATTAGAGGAGCCTGATTTACTGATATCCTTGTTAATTGATCCTCTAATTGTAAATAAGAAACCCTGAAACTTTTGTGCCACTATCAGGAAAGCGGCAGTTTGGACGGTTAGTGGCAACACCCACAACCCCGCCTATTCTTCTTTGCTCAAAAATAGACGATAAAATTACGTTTCTATCCCCGTCATATCTTTTGATAATATCATCAATCTTATATGGTATTTGATCAAGAAATAAAATCAAAGCAATTTGATTATTTAAAATGAAATAAATAAATAAATAAAAAACAGAACAAATAGACCATTAAATCTATGGAATTTAACAATAGAATATCCCTTCCTCAAAGAAAAGAAAAAAAAAATCTCATAACCCCATCCTTAAAAAACACAACAAAGAAAGAAACAATAATGATGGGAAAGCTTTGTAGATGTCGGGCAATGTTGCAGCACCAATTCCAAGTGGATGAAGGGTGTTAGAATAGGAGGTGAAACAAATGTTCCAAGTATCAAATTGCCCCTGATGCTCAGAAACGTTCGAATTACCATATTGACACTGATGCTCACAAACTTGTTCAATCTGTTGACTTCGACCCATCATATTATAACTATAGACAAAACTTTAGAGAGCGGCTTTTTGGTCACTACCAAGTCATTAATTTAAGAGGATGTTACCACCTTGTCTGCTCCTCATGCTGCTGCTACTGCTGAGAAGACTCATTGCTTGCATTTCCATCTTCCCCATCCTCTGTCTTAGCCTTCAACATCTGTTTGCAGACACACGCATTAAATGAAAAGGGGGTAATTAATTTTCTTCTTAATTATTAGTACTATATATATAAAAAAAATGAAAAAAAAAAAAACAGAGGAAATTAATAATTCACAACAAGGGCTTAGACATATTAGTACTCACACGCGGATATTGATGACGATGGTGTCTTCTCTGGTAGGTGAGTGTCCTAGTCTCCTAGACAATGCAGTGCTAGTTTCAGAGGTGTTTTGGAGGTTATTAGGGTTAGGGTTGGGGAGCTCATTAGGGTTAGGTTGATGAGGAGTGTGTTGGTGACGGTGACACTTCTCTTGGAATTGGAGGGGGGCCCCAGGTGGAAGAAAAATAGGAGAGCAGAGGCAGAGGGTTTATAGCTCACATTGCATAAAGTGGCAGTCTTGACTGGGCGCCTCTCAGCTACAGGCTTGACAGGAGACTGAGGCTGAGGCTGAGGAGGTATAGGGATGAGGTGGGTGGCTGAGGATGAGGAGGCTGAGGGTGGGGTAGAGATGCCCATGTTTGGCCACAGAAAGGACCCTTGTGGCCTGCATATCCTGAAACCACTCCTCACTCTCTCAATTTTGGCTGCCTTTGTCCTCATGACTTGCTGTTCCTGCACTAATATACAAGTGGTCATTTTTCTTACTTACTGGTGCTTCTGAGATATGCTTCTGAGATACTTACTACTTCTTAGTTTTCTTAACGAGCTCCTCCTGCAAAATCCCAACAAACGACAATTAGTACGTAGCACTTAATATTATTTAAAGCAGCCATAATCAACTTGAACCATGAAACAAATTAATAAAAATTAAAAGGTCCAAACTTTTTTAACATAATATTATATTTAAAGCAGCCAAAGTTGATAAATAATTGAAATTGACCAATATACTGGCGGCAGTACAAAAGTGATTAATTATATGTTTAGATTTAAGTGTGCAATTAAGATACAAGGGGATAATATTAGAATAGTGATCATTAATTACACAGGAATGTTCATTTTACTTACATATATTTGTTTTGATTTCCATAATATGCTCTTCATCATACCTTTAAAAAGATGAACATCATGCTTAATCTTAAGCAAGCCTTGTTGTTGAAACCCAAATTCATGGGCTGACCTTCTGAGAAGTGCAACAATTCTTGGATGGCTGAGGAGCTTGATGGGTATCCATAGCTTCTGCATGTCTCCCATTTCTTTCCCCACCAGAACTGGGACATAACCTTTTCTAACCCTCTCTCTCTCCACTGTCTCACTGGAGACATGTAGGGTTCAGGCGCCGCCACCCCACACCCCC